GGTAGTCCTGGTGCTGAGGGGGGGTCGTACTCAGTTTCTCCAGCCCCTTTGAAAGTCACTTTTACTTAAAATCGCAGGGGAATGGTTGGAAAAAGTGTGCCTGACTTACTGAAACCAGTAAGGCTCAATAAGATGCTGGCTTGCAGGTTAAGTGCACGTGCTCTGACCATCGCCATCATCTTTGCCTACGACCCACAGTCCTCCCTTACTTAAAACGGCTCCGCTGTTACCTGCGTTGTTGAAAGCAACTCTGTCAATGGGTGTGTGTCAAGGCTCCCATCTCCACTGAGGCCTGAAGCTGCAGTTTCGGTGTAAATCTACCTTTTTTTTATGACTTTCTTACCTGGTTTGTTCGTAAAGGAGCGAGAAAGCTGCTGTTGAACTCCAGCAAATGCTGAGCATGGATGGATGCTCTTGCTTGTGATTCCCCAGAGAAAAGGCAGCTCCCAGCCCCTTGTGCTGCCATTTTTCCACCCCATCCCTGCACTTCCCGGGACTGGGGTCTCCAGGGCCCAGGCACGGTTGTGCTCTACGGCTGTGGAGCACAGCGATGGTTCCTGTGACAGACCTGTGTTAAATGCTGTCCCAGAGCTGTGCGAGGCAACGAGCAGGCTGCTGCGGTTGGCAGGATGAGCCAGGGCGTGCCAAGCCTCTAAATATTGATTGCTCTTGGAGTGTATTTGTAAAAATCACTGTGGTGTCGATGTACACGTTTGCAGATGGGGATACTATCTCAAAGGTGCTATGGGAGGAATCTTATAACGTCCTGATGCACTTGCTGCAGGCCAGGGGAGCTGCTCTGGGCATCTGGGGGGGCTGTAGGACACCATCGGAGGCTTCGGGAGCTGGCACAGCCCATCAGCAGTCGCCTCGCTACAGCCATCAGTAAGGCAGCTGTGATTATTTGGGAAGGGAGGTCATGCTCCTAGCTCCAGCCGGAGACCTGGCATCCCAGCGGGATGCTCATCCCATGGGAGCGGGGCTGGGTGCTGGCACGGGTGCGCTGGGCTCTGAGCGGGGTTTGGTGGGTGGGACACACCGCTCTGGGGGCTCTGGCCTGGCTCAGATGCTTTG